GACCTCGTGATCCACCCGCCTCGGCCTCCCAAAGTGCTGGGATTACAGGCTTGAGCCACCGCGCCCGGCCCAAGATCCTATCTCTTAATCCTGTGACATTGCGGATTAAGTTTCTCACACATGAAATTTGGGCAACACATTCAAATCATAGCACCAATATTCTCTGTAGCCTTCTTAATATATATTGTGAGCCATCTTTGGACAGGCTTGAGAAAAAAATTTGAGGACCTCAGCATTCATATGTATTTGCTTGAGGTTCTTCATTAGCTGCTCCACTGAGAAAGCATTAAGGATCTATATTACAGCTTAACTTTTATGTGGGAGGAGCAACATATTAAAGTGTTATAACATTGGCTTGAATTCATTTGTAAAACTATCTTGATAATCACCTAGCTCAAACCTGCATGGACAGGAAGGAAATGTGGGAAGTTTTGATGAGGAAGGAGGTTGTAGACAAAGCCAATAATTGAGAAAACCAGAGAAGGTACCAGAAATGTGTTCAGAGCATCAAGAAACAGCCTGAGAATTGCAGGTGTCTGGGGATGGTGAGAGGTTTCTGGTCAGGAAAAGGAAAGGTTCAGAAAGACTCAAGGGAAGCTTTGACCTTGTCAGTTTCATTGAGGTCAACTTGTCAATGCCTCCAGCAAAGTTTAAGATCTGAACAAGTTGTTTTTAAAACCTATACAAGGATTTATTTTGAGACCTTGATGAAAAGTTTTTCAAATGTTTCCAGCTGAATGGGCTACATTTCCATTTTATCAGGATCTGAACAATTGAACCCTCAAATAGTAAACACATTTTAGAAATGTGCAAAGAGAAAAAGTGTTTATAATGACCCTTGAAATAAGATCTTGTAATGCCTTAAGAATTATTTTTAAAGATTGAATTATCACTACAGATTCCAAAATATTTCAAGATTTGTAAATTGGCAGTCTCTTACTTTTAAAAAAAATTCAACAAATATGTATTGAGTCGCTGCTTTTCCAAGTACTCTGCAAGGCACCTAGGATATAGTGATGGACAAGAGAGATGTAGTCACTGCCCTCATGGAACTTGGAATTGAGTGGGGAGCAATAAACATGTATACAGAAAAAATCTAAGAAAGAATGGTACCATATGTGGCTGGAGAAGTAGACAGGGGCCTGGTTATTTGGGACTTATAGGCCATAGAACAGCTTTTGGACTCCATTCAAAGTACCATGAGAAACCATTAAAAGGTTTGAGGCAAGGAAGTGACATGATCCAACTTTCATTGTAAGAAAATTTCTCTACTGCTATGTAGAGAATAATTGTGGTCAGAATTCAGTAATGGATGGGGGAAACCAATAGGAAGCTGTTGAGGGGTCTAAACCAGGGTGATCTGAACTGGAATAGTGGCATAAGAGAAATAAGTGGATGTGAGATGTGTTTGGAGTAACACTGACATGACTTGTTGATGGTTTGGAAGTAGGAGATGGGGATAAGGAAGGCAAAAGAATCAATAGGATCCCTGGGTTTCTGGTTTGAGCATTTTGATGGGTAGTAACTACTGAGACTGGGAAGAGCATGAGAGGGACAAGTCGTCGTTGGAAATCAGGAATTTATTTGGATGTATTAAGTTACAGATATCTGTGTGACATCTAAGAGGGAACTTTGAACAGGCAGCTGGATACACAGTCTAAAGTTCAGTGAAGAGGAGTGGATGGGAGATGTAAATTTTAGATTAAACATCTTACAGATAATATTTAAAGCCAAGAGAATGGTGACATCACCTAGGGAGACATTATAAAGAGAGGAAAGGAGGGCTCACAGATCCCAATATTAAGAAATCAGATAAAAGAAATATCTGAGAAGATTTAGAAGGAAATCCCAGAGAGTGTTAGATCAGGGAGGCCAATAAAAGAGGGTTTTAGGAAGGAGAGAATAGTCAGCTATTGGAAGTGCCACCAAGAATTGAAGAAGGGAAGAGAAAAGGATTATTCTTTCAAGTTCCTGCTGAACTTGGTGAGAGACATTTCAGTAGAGTCATAGAATGGCAATTCTTAAATAACTAGAACACTTAGTCAACTAACCATAAACCTTATTCTGCAAATACTTTGGATAAATGAAATAGAAGCTAAGTGGCTCAAGGAAATACTTAGGAGATGTCAAGATCAAAGCTTATAGCTTTGTAGTCCTCTTGTTCTTCGTCATTGTAACAGAGACCAAAGCTTCAGTGAACATAAATTTCTAGGCTGCTTTGATACTTCTCCATTGTCCAAATATCAATATCCACCTCAAGCTGAAGAGACAGGTATAACTTAATTTTTCTAATTATTGTTTATTAATATATACAGCAAACCATTATAATATCAGATACCTTTTGAATATTTACTAGGTTAAGTCCCCGTATAATACACTTTCCGTGCATTAAATAATTTATTGCTAGTATTGTTTCCAAGTTGAAGATGAATAAGTTAAGGCTTAGAGAAGTTGCTTCTCCACAAGTAGCAGAGTCCAGACGTGAAGCCATGATTGTAACCACTGTGCCAAACTACTAATATATCAACTAATAAAAATCACATTTCGTTAAAAATATAACCATGGATTTCTCTAAAAATCAGATCAATATTTATGAGTGCTTTCCTTTGAAATAGAATTAATTTATTTAACAGTGGGCCGGGCGCGGTGGCTCAAGCCTGTAATCCCAGCACTTTGGGAGGCCGAGGCGGGTGGATCACGAGGTCAAGAGATCGAGACCATCCTGGTCAACATGGTGAAACCCCGTC